CCTCCTCTCCACTGGACAGCTCTGCCCGCCGGCCGCCATCCTTGCACTTGCAGTCACCACCGCTCCCCAACCCCGGCTCCCTAGCTCTGCTCCTGTGGCGACCGGTCCTGACCTTGCTTATCTTTGGTCTGTCCGTATGCTCTTCTCCGACGTCTCCATAGTGGGGGGACCGTCAACGCCTTGGGCAATGGCCGTCGCAACACGGCTTCTTCCCTCCAGATGCCTTCTGCCTCTCCAGATCCCACCTCCTTTTCGTCTGGGGCAAACATCTCGCCTCCATGCCTCTGGGTCTCTGCTGGCTCAGAACAAGGGTCTTAGGTCTTACAGGGAGGTGTGAGGCACCCATCAACCACTCCCATCAGGCGAAAGCCACAGGGGTAACTGGTGGAAAGATTCTTTTGTTTTGTTTTGGCGGAATCCAGAGATTGAACCTGGAAGCGCTTATCCACCGAGCCATCCCCCCCCCCCAGCCCCAAGTGGAAAGATTCTTATCACCTCTTTTCTTTTTTTCTTTTCTTCTTTTCTTTTTTTTCTTTCTTTCTTTTTTTTTTTTTTTTTTGGCGGAACAGGGATTGAACTCAGGCCTTTGTGAGCCTGCTGCCTTCCCCCTCCTCTCCACTGGACAGCTCTGCCCGCCGGCCGCCATCCCTGCACTTGCAGCCACCACCGCCCACCAACCCCGGCTCCCTAGCTCTGCTCCTGTGGCGACCCGTCCTGACCTTGGTTATCATCGATCTCTTCCCATGCTCTTCTCCAACGTCTGTATAGCGGGACCATCAACACCATGGGCATTGGCTGTCGCAACGCGGCTCCTTCCCTCCTGGTGCCTTCTGCCTCTCCAGATCCCACCTCCTTTTCGTCTGGGGCAAACATCTCACCTCCACGCCTCTGGGTCTCTGCTGGCTCAGAACAAGGGTCTTAGGTCTTACAAGGAGGTGTGAGGCACCCATCAACCACTCCCATCAGGCAAAGGTCACACTGGTAATTGGTGGAAAGATTCTTTTTTTGTTTTGTTTTGGCGGAGTCAGGTCCTTGTGCTTGCCAGGCAAGCACTTTTTCTACTGAGCCATCTCCTCCACCCCATCACCTCTTAAGATGGGGCAGCCAAGCAATGTCATAGGCAAGGCCCTTCACCCATCCCCCTGTGCCCCTGAGAAAACCCCGGATAGAGAGGCCAAATGATTTGCCCAGTGTTACACAGCTATTGATAGCAGAATTAGGATTTGAACTCAGCCATTCTACTGCAGAACCCTCGCTTTTAGACTGTATGTTAGCTCTGCGTGGTAAGAATATAGAAAGTGTGCCATTCATCATTTTAAATATCCACCAACAGATCCTGGCATATATCGCTGCCCACTAGGAACTTGCCTTCTGTGTGGAGAGATGTGATAGAGGAGATAAGAATCAAATTTGATGGGTTGGCGAGATAACTCAACGGTGTAAAGTGCCTGCTTAGGCAAGCTTAGGCAGGCGCAGGAGACCTTGGTTTGGTTTGATCCCAACCCCCGGCACCACATGCCTTGCCAGCTCAGCCCTCAGGTTAGGCTGAGCCGACCAAAAAACAAAAACAAAAACAAACAAACAAAAAAACCCAAAAAACAAATTGGTAATGTTGCAGAAACAAAAATAGAATTTATGTCGGAATACAGAGGCATATGCTGGTAATCCCACACTCTGGAATGCTGAGGCAGGGGCATGGCAAATTTAAGACTAGCCTAAGCAATTTAGCAATTTAGAAACCCTGCCTGAAAAATAAAAGAAATAATAAAATAAAAGGTAGGGGCTGTAGTTCACTGTGAAGGCCCTGAGTTGGATTCTCAGTACTATAATAAATAAATAAGTAAATAATAAGTCTTCTTGCTACCTTCACTCCTTTCCACAAATGTGGGAAAGAATAAAATAAATTTTTAGAGAATAAGCATTAACACACTGTAAGGCACATGAGCCATGATGAACAGGGCTTAAGAAGTGAACTGTAGGGTGTTTGAGAAAGAATTCAAGTTAGGAAACCCAGCAGGGGAGGGGAATGGGACTCTAGACAGCTGGATGAGACAGAAGTTACTGGGCAGGCAGAGAGGGGTGGGGCCCTCTAGGGAGTCAGTGCAGAATGGGAGACCCACAAAGATTGGGGCTGCAGTGGATCTGAAGAGGGCCAGGCCTTCAGCACTCGCTGTAGACAAACAGCAGCTTGGATTTTACTGGAATTAACACTGCCCTGTCCTGTGGGCCAAGACAAGCATCAGACCTAGGGATGGTGACCAGCACACACGGCTGCCCTTGCTCTCTTCACAGCTATGCCTTTGTTCTTTCTAGTTGGAAGTTACAGATAGGCTGAGGTCACGAGGTGCATGTACCTACCTGTGCTACCCGCTGGATTCCCTCTCGGGCCAGCACTAGCTAAGTAGCTGCACTGTAATCCTCCAGGCGGATTGTAGTTTGCCCCACAGCTGGCCAGCTTGTGACTCTGCTGTAGAAAATATGCTTGACCAGGAGTCGGGGTGGTGGCAGCTCTCTTTCCACACCCGCTCCCCTCTATTAGGGGCTTTCTCTCAACAAGCCTTTCCTATTCTTCCTTTCTTATGTCCCAAGTCCCAGCTTCGGTGTGTGCAAGTGAGGATGTCACCTAATGGTGGGAGTCCCTTTGTCAGCCAGGTGGATGCAGAGGAGGAGACCCCGAGTTCTGGCTGATGGACTGACTCAGGCACTGACGTCCTTTCTTCTCAATACATTTTCAGTAAACTTTACTGCCAAGATTCTCTGACATATCTAAGAAAAGGTTGGAGGAGTCACTGCTCAGCTCCAACCCTTACCTCCTGCCCATGTGGTTTCCTTTCTGGGCACATCTACCTGCTCCTACTGGGCCTCCCCTGTGCATTTATTTATTTATTTATTTATTTATTGAAACAAGATCTTGGTCTATAATTCAGTCTAGTGTTGAACTCAAACTAGCTCAGGCTCTCCTCAAACTTGTGGCAATCTTTTTGCCTTAGCCTACCTCGTGCTGGGATTATAGGCATGTGTCACACCCAGCTGTTTTTTATTTTATTTTATTTTATTTTTTTGGTACATTTTAGGTATATGTGATGATAAGATTCATCACAGGGCATTTCTACCTATACATGCTGTATCTTGTTGCTTCTTTTTTCCCCCATTACCTTCCCCTCCCTTCAGTCTCTCTTCCCCTCATTTATAAAAGCTTGCATCTCAGTTCCTTTTTTCTCATTTCTGAGGCAAAATACCCGACACCCAAAATGAAGGAAGGAAAGGTTATTTAGCTCACAGTTCGTGGAGGTTTCAGTCCATCCTCAGCTGGCTCCACCAGCAAAACAGTGAGAGCAGAAGGGAGGAGCAGCGGCGGCAGCAGCAGCCAGCAAGCCTCTCCCCCTTCCTTATATTGCTCTCAGGCTGTCCGCCCCAGGCTGGGTGCAGGGCTCACGCTCCTAATCCCAGCAGCACTCAGGCCTATAATCTCAGCATTAGATCTTGACTTTATCACAGAGTCTGGAAGCCCATGGCCCTAGAGCTTCATGAGCCTTAGGGAGGACAACTAGACCCAAACCATAAGAGCTTGTTTCCACCTTTTCCTTGTTTTTTCTTGTCCTTTTTCCCCTCTTCTCCCTGCCCTCCTTTGTTCTTCTTCTCATTTAAACATTTTCTTCCCATTTCCCAATGTCTATTATACAATAAATAGTGGCCCAAGTGTTGGGACTGTGGGCATGAGCCACCATAAGCAGTTTATATGACTTTTTTGTTTTTTAAATGATTTCTCTCTGGGCATGGCGGCACATACCTGTATCTCCAGCATTCAGAAGGCAGAGGCAAGAAAGTTGTCTTGAGTTCCAGGCCAGCGTGGGCTATATAGTGAGTTCAAGCCCATCCTGAACACATAGGAAGTTCCTGCTCAAAAAATTAAGGCCAAGGCAGGGAATATAGCTCAGTGACACAGTGCCTGCATGACAAGCTAAAGATCCTGAGTTCAATTTCCAGTGTCAAAAAAAAAAAAAAAGGAAGAAAAAACAAAAATGGTTTTTAAAAAAGTTTTAGAAATTCAAATAGGACAAAATGGCAGACACTGAGAATGTAGCCTGCATTCCTAGTCCCCACTCTGCTCGCCAGAGGCAATCCTTGCTAATTCCTGGAATTATATGTCATGCTGTAATCTGAAAAGAGAAACATAAGGGTGGGCTCCAGGAGGCCCTACTATCACTGGATCACGTCCAGGGCAGTTCCCCCAGGCAGGGAGGGAAACTTTTGATTCACCCAGCACAGGGGAAGCTACATTTTTGCTGATATCTGTCACAGGAAAAAGTCTTTCTCTTTTTTTTTTTTTTTTTTGTTGGCAGAACCGGAGATTGAACTTTGGTCCTTGCACTTGCCAGGCAAGTGCTTATTCCACTGAGCCATCTCCCTGGCCCAAGAAAAAGTTTTTCGAGATGTACATAAGAAAATTTATTGGGGACTGGGAATATAGCTCAGTAGCACAGCACCTGTCTGTCAAGCTGCAGGGAGTGAGTTTACTGCCAAGTACCAAAAAAACAGTTTATTGGGTAAAAAGGAAAAATTCTTTTTATGTACTTTGTACAGGGTCTCACTATGCAGCTTAGACGCATAGTGATCCTCCTGTCTCAGCCTCTCCAGTGGTGAGATTATAGGCCTGCACCATCATGCCTGGTTTGGTGGCTGGCTTGGGGGTGGGGTCTGCATGGCATGTGGTACCAGGGATTGAACCCCAGTCCTTGCGCTTGCCTAGGCAGGCACTTAGCCCACTGAGCCATCTCT